AGAAAAAAACTCTAGTGATTTAGTTAATTCACTTTCAAATTTAATAGGTAAAAAAAATTTCTTTGTTGTACCTATTAAAAAGGGCATGATTAATGAAACCAAGGTACAAGTTTCAAGTGAAGATCAGTTTCGTAAAGTAATTGCTGAATTAGAGATAAAATCGAAACAATTTTATACGTATCAATTAAAAAGTAGTAAAGGACTAATAGTGGTCATAAAAGGCATAGAGGCAGGAGTTGATATTAAAGAAATTCACGATGCACTTAAAGAAAAAAACTTCGCAGCAAAAAGTATATTTAATATCTTAAATAGAGACCGTAAACCTCAACCAATGTACAAAGTTGAGCTGTATCCAGACACAAACAAGTTGAAAAGTGGCGAAGTCCATCCTATTTATTTGCTTCGCTTTCTTTTAAACAGAAAAATTACTATAGAGGAACCACACAAGCGTAATTTTCCAGTACAGTGCTTCAACTGCCAGGAATATGGACACACCAAGTCATACTGTAAACTTGCTAAAGTTTGTGTTATTTGTGCCAAAATCCATAGCTCAGATAAATGTCCTGAAAGCAAAGAAAACCCAGCAGTTAGAAAATGCTCAAACTGCGGTGATAGCCACACAGCAAACTACAGAGGATGTCCAGTTTTCACTGCTCTAAGACTAAAATTAAACGTTGCCCAAAGACAGCGCACCCCACAGCTTAATCTGCCAAACTTCACAACATCTCATTTCCCGCCCCTTCCACAGAACACTGGTCCTACATTGCAACCACCGGCTCCACCAATGCAGCAAATGACGTACGCAAATGCCATTAAACAAATTCCACTTCTTACCAATAGCTCCACTGTTGTTCCAGGCTTTGAAGCAATGCTCGCAAGTTTTACCCAAAAAATTGAACACTTCATGGACTTCATGCAAAATATGATGAATAGCTTGATGCAAAGCATGATACAAAACCAAAGTTTGATTGCTGAGTTGGTAAAACCCAAATGAATGCAATCACAATATGCCATTGGAATGCAAACGGCTTAAGCCAACATGTACTGGAAGTAACTAGATTTCTGGTGAGTAACAATATCGATATACTGCTTATATCTGAAACACATTTAACCTTCAAAAACTGTTTTCGAGTTTCTGGATATAAGTTTTATGACACTAAACATCCAGATGGTAAAGCATGTGGTGGTTCTGGAGTACTTGTTAGAAACACAATACAACATTATGAAATTCAAAAGCATTGTTTTAAATACCTACAAGCTACATCAATTTGTGTAATTTCTGGTCTAACTAAAACTGTCGTCTCAGCAATCTATTGCCCGCCCAAATTTGGTATTACTTCTGATCAATTCCGGAAATTTTTTACTGATCTCGGTCCTAACTTTCTAGTTGCTGGGGATTTCAATGCTAAACACACCTTTTGGGGTTCTAGACTAATAACTCCAAGAGGTCGTCAACTGTATGCAGCACTTGGCAACAGCCTTGATGTTGTGTCCTCAGGCCACCCAACATACTGGCCATCAGACAATCGAAAAATACCAGACTTAATCGATTTCGCAGTCATTAATGGTATGAAACGTGAAGATATTGCTGTTAAATCATCTTATGACTTGTCCTCTGACCATTCTCCGGTTATTTTAACTCTGACAAAATTTAATACGAATTCAAATGAGCAGAATAAGAAAACTCTAATAAACTGGAGGAATTATATAAATATTATTAATGAGGAAATAAGTTACAATTCAAATTGTAGTTCACCTAAAGAAATTGATGAAGCAGTTGATCACTTTACCAAGACATTAAATAATGCTGTAATTAAAGCCTCTCAACCAAAAAGATCAGTCCAGTCAAATATAGTATTTCAATCACACATTGATTATCTTATTTCTCGAAAACGACAAGCCAGGCGTGAATGGCAAAGACTTCGATCACCCACCTCAAAACAAAGATTAAATAAAGCTTCAAAAGATCTTAAAAAAGCACTATCTGATGACAAAAACCGCTCTTTACAAGAATATCTCGAGTCACTTGGTCCACTTAAAGAAAACAACTATTCTCTGTGGAAGGCAACGAAGAAATTTAAAACGCCAATACAAAATGACCCACCGCTAAGAAAACCGGATGGTTCTTGGGCTCGCAATGACGAAGAAAAAGGTTGTATTTTAGCAGAACACCTAAAGGGTGTCTTTCAGCCAAACCCACAATTATCAGATTTCCAACCTAACATCGAATCTCCTTCTATTGTTGAAACTCCCCTTACGTTGTGTTTGGATAACGTCAAGGAGACTATTCGAACATTTGCAAATCCCAAAAAGGCACCTGGGTACGACAAAATTACGGGTAAAATGATACAACAATTGCCTGATTCAGCAATAACTTTTCTAACGGTGATATTTAACAGCATCCTCGCTTTTGGCTACTACCCGAAGCAATGGAAAGTTTCAGAAATAAAAATGATTCCAAAAGCAGGAAAGGACCTAACTTTGGCATCATCATATAGACCAATTAGTCTTTTGCCCCAGTTATCCAAAATCTTTGAGAAAATGCTCCTGTCATATATTATGCCAATAATAACTCAAAACAAAGTGATCCCAAACCATCAATTTGGATTTCGAACAGGACATGGCACTATTGAGCAAGTTCACAGAATTGCTAAAGAAATACATACTGCCTTTCAACACAAACAATACTGTTCCGCCGTTTTCTTGGACGTAGCCCAAGCTTTTGATAAGGTTTGGCACGAAGGTCTTATGTATAAAATAAAACGTTATCTTCCTGAAAATATGCATAAGCTATTGTATTCATATACATCATCTAGAAAATTTAGATTGAAATACAATACCTTTATTTCAAGAGAAATCGACATAATGGCTGGTGTTCCTCAAGGAAGCGTATTGGGGCCGTTTCTGTACATAATCTATACAGCTGATCTCCCACTACTCTCAAATCACACACTTGCTACTTTCGCGGACGACACTGCAATTCTTAGTTCTAACAGTGACCACATAAGGGCGTCCCAAAGTCTCTCGACTCACTTAAGTCTATTGGAGAAGTGGCTAGCAAAATGGCGCATAAAAGTAAACGAAACGAAAAGTGTGCATGTCACGTTTACTCTGCGAAAAGAAACGTGCCCCCCTGTTAAGTTGAATAACATCATTATACCTCAGTCACATGATGTAAAATATCTTGGCATTCATCTTGATAGAAGGCTGACTTGGACTAAGCACATTGAAAGCAAAAAATCTCAAATTAAATTAAAATCACAGCAGCTTCTTGGCTTATTAATAAAAACTCTAAGCTAACTCTGGAAAATAAAGTCCTGGTATACAATTCAATCTTAAAACCTATATGGTCCTATGGTATAGAACTCTGGAGTGCAGCATGTGCTTCTAATATCGAAAAAATACAGAGAGTTCAAAACAAATTACTTAGACAAATAACCGGTGCTCCTTGGTATCTCAAAAATGTACATATCCACAACGATCTTGGAATCCCAACTATTGCAGACGTCATTACAACATGCGGCCAAAAATATAAAGTGAAACTTCACCAGCATAGTAATCCAATGGCGCAACAGCTGCTTTCTGATACCACAATATCTAGACTTAAGCGAAAAAGCTTCGTACCACCTTAACGTAATTTTACTAAAAATGTTGATATAAATTTTGATAATAATAATCCATTTCATTTTATTATAAAGTTTAAACTCCTTTTTTGCACCTGCTAATTGCATTATGTTTAGTTTTTAAGATTTGATTACATAATTGTCAATTTCTTATCAGAAAGATACAATTAAAATAAAATAAAATAAAAAAAAAAAAAAAAAAAAAAAAAAAAAAA